GGAAGAACCAGCCGAAGAACAGCAGAGTCGTGGTAGAAAGTTCAGAGATGGTATTAAAGTAGCTCAGTTTAAATGTATTGTATGCATTGCCCTTACTCTGGAATAAAAAATACGGGGTTTTATTTACATTTAGTTAAAAGTGACTGTAATTCATCAGCTCCAGTGGTGCAGATGGATAAGTGCGTGTTGTTGGATTGAGAATCGATATTGAATCGACCACATTTTAAAAAACGATATATCGAAAAAAAAAATTTATTGAGTCTATGTAAATTGGATTCAGGCATAAGATGCACACCAGTTCCCCTAACCTGTATCTAAAAACAGTAACGTTACTTTACAAAAGAGCAACTTATACGTCTTATCAGTAGTAGCGTTCTGATGCAACTTCATGTTCAATTTTTGCCCCCATTGAGAGTCTGACGATAATCTCCCATCAGTGAAACTGGGTCTGTAATGTTTTGCAGTAATGTTTGCTTAAAAGTCAATTTAACTGGGGTGTTTTGTGTTGTTTGAGGTCCCTGTCACTGACGTAACATTCAGCGTGATTTGACGTAAAGTTCAGTGGTCACGTCTGATTTGTAATTTATCAAAAATTCACACAAGGACAAATGTTGAAGTTGTGGAAGGGAGGGGAACTGGTTCAGCAATTCAAAGGGGTCACAAAACTGATAAAGAGCACACAGTTGAATTGATTTGTGTAAGGTGCCAAACTCTACATCTAGCACACAGTTATGGCTATTATATTTCTTTACAGGTATTGTTTAGTGATGTTTGTTGCCAAGACAACTACAAACTAATTATAGTTTCGTTCTGTGGCAGATCTACATGTATAGTGTCACAGGCGGTGTTCAGTAGTGGTTTGTGTGTGTGTATGATTGTGTCCTTGTATGAGGTGGCAATTGAATATGACAGAAAGGTCATTCTATTGTTGGATAGCTATGCTGCAAACTCACTGTTGCATGTCAGAGATTTTGACTGCGTCAACTCTTTAGCCCTATTCGGACGGTAATTGTTTCTCAGGGGGACGTAAGTGATTTTCACCATTTACAGGGTGTAGTTGGTGATTTTAATGCCGTCCGAATCCAGGATGTCGGTGTTTTTCTCTCACCACCCCTGTAAAAATCCCCGGCCAAATTACCTACTGTTTTTTGACAAACACCAAGGTCGTGTGGTAATTTAATTGCCGTCCGAATCCACATCTCTGAGTTTATGAGAAGAAATCAATTCAAAATTCATTTTTTAAACCCTTTTTGAGCACTCCCGAACACCGTAAGGTAACGTTGTACTTCGGTGTCATTTGCATACATATTTATTTCTGATATGCTGGAAAGTATTTAAAAGAACAATCATTCATAACTGCTCCACCACAGCGACTGGGAGCAGAAAGAGAAGAAAAGCACGTAAACATTCGAAATGGGTCTTTATTATGGCAGCAGCAGGTATGCAATACAATTTTAAAATGTGTATTATAAACAGATATATACAACTATAGCGGTCTATTTTCCTATTTTTATACAGGAGATTTAAATAAATAATAAATAGGATTATATATTATAAAATATGCTTGGAATAAGGATACATTTTACGTAAGTATTTTTAAATACATTTTACACAATGATAAGAATAAATTTGTAAATAAAATGAATTGTATTTACAGTAGACAATCATGTGACTGGCCACGTGAGCAGCGCGTTCCCGGGTTCTCGCTCCTCCACTGTGAATAGATCACCATCCGAATCCATGAGTTTTATCACTGAGGTGATATGTAAATTTATTTTTACAGACGTCCATATGAGAAACAATTACCGTCCGAATCGGGCTTTTGAGTCGATGGTTGTGACATTCAGTCTTGGCTGTGGTAGTGAGTGTATTGGGTAACTTAAAGGTTGTGGTTTGATGAAAAAAAAAAAAGAAAGATGAAATACTTGAGGGATATATTATGAGCTTAAAGACAAGACTCCACTCATTAATTAGAGGGTGAGAAATCAAGTTGGAGAATGGAAAGCCAGTAAATTTGAATGAGAATGGAGGGCAAGGAAGGTGTGTATGGCTTGGGGCAGGTTATTCCACTGTTCTCTTGGTGATAAATGTTATTTCTTTTGAGATGCGCACACACACTTGTCAACACTGTTAAAGCAGTGGTTCTCAACCTATTTGACTCTAAAGCCCCCCACTGTCCATAACAATATTCGTAAGCCACATGACTTTTCACATTGTTTGTGATTTACTGGATAAGGGTTTTATACACTTCATTTTAAGGAGTCCTTGTTACAGTATAATTATACATTTAAGTACGGAGTAATATTAATTAACTACATGTATTTACTATATGGTTAGAGTTAGGATTAGGGTTCAGTTTAGGTTTAGTTACTTGCATGCAATCTTTAATTCATTGCTATTATAATAGTATGTACATTCAACCTATGTAACAAGGACACCTTAAAATTAAGTTACCAACTTTTTTCAGTGCATTTTTACTGTAATTGCAATGAAGAGGAACTTAAATGATTTTCATTCTGTTCCTCACACAAAGCTATCGTATGGCTCAAGAAAACTTGAAATATATCAGGGAGTTCTTTTGTGAAAGTAGCATTTTTGATTTGAAGTTTAAAGCTTCAATCCCCATTTATTATCATTGTCAAAGTAATTTTCATATCTGGGTTAAAATATTGCTTTAACTCACAGCCTCTCCTCACATGTAAACGTTTAGTGTGCATTAGTCAAATGTTTCCTCATCAGAGTCCTGAGGAGACAGATGTTGTGAAGTCAGAAACCAATGAATGACGGGCAAGTGTTTAAACCCACCTCTCAGGCCTCAAGACTTTGAGAAGGCAAGTGATGTTAATGTCTTTGTGTATGTGTAACTGCCTGTTTTTTTTTTTGTGGTTATTCCTTATTTGTTACTGTGTGTGTGTTACCTGTTTCACTGTTAATAATTGATCAGGGTAATAAGTATGGTTCTCTGTGAAGTGAGTAATTGTGGGCCCACTTTTAGATTTCCATCAGGCG